AGTAAATACAAAGTTTTTACCCTCTGGAGAGTGGTAAAAAACGTCTGTGGACACCTTACTCTTTCCTGGGGGTAAACTCCCCGGGAAGGAATATATTTACTCCGTGGTGGTGGGTAATACCAAAGTGTTACCCTTAAGTCAAGAGTAAAATAACGGATTTATCCTCTGGAAGAGAATAAATTAGAAGAGTTTACCCCACGGTACGTGGTAAAAAACGTCTGCGTGCCTCGTACTCCCTCCCAGCGGATTTACTCTCCAGGGGAGAGTAAAAAAAAGTTTTCAGTGTATTTTTAGAATTGCTCTGCCTATTTGTTTATGGGTCAAACAACATCGGTGCTGGCGAGACTATCTTTTTTATGGCAGGTAAAGACAGAATGTTCAAATTACCCCACGGTGGGGCAATTTGAACACACCGTGACTTGGTGGAGAAGTGATGCTATGCTATTCAAGGTATGCTCGGCTCGTCCAAAAATGAGGCTTGCATGATGAAAGCAAGTGACACATGCGCTACTGAAACAGTTTTTCTTCATCCAGGGTTGAGCTGGAATTTGGTACAACGGAGAAGACGTAAAAATATGTTCAAATTACCCCACACTACCCTACCAAGCAGTGCGTAAAGAAAAAATGAGCGTGATTTTACTTGTAAGCTGGCGACCAGAGTCTAAATTGTGAACAAGCCAAAATGCTGACAAGTAAAATCAAAGATGTCTAAACGAAAGCATTTTTTTATATGAACCGTGACCAAGTTAGAGTCACTGTATACTGAGCACTAATCTCATGAGCATGACGCATGTTATGTTCGGTGAGCCTCATGTCCAATGAACTTCCACTAGATACTAGTACAAAAACGTTAACGGTACCTACCTAAACGATGGATTGATTCTCGCAAGCCACACATGACACCATAAACAGCTTGCTCTCTGACCAGAATATCGCCAAGGCTAGTAGACTGTGGAAACAGGATCTATTGCAGCGCCTTTCATCAGCTGGCCGTATTGCCTTCCCCGTATACGGCGTATCTATCCTGTTCCTCGTCCTCCAGCTCCATCGGTGCCCTTCCAAGGCCGTATACAACAGGTCCAAATCCGGTCAAACTGGCAGACTGAGTGAGTGAGAAGTGAGACACTCACAGCTGACGAGAAACCTGTCCGTCGGGACACCGGACTAATGGAGAAACAAGTACCGGGAATGGCAGGTCGGAATGTTGCCCGAGAACTTATTTGTTGTAGTGTCAACAGTTATTAGCGTGGGATTTTTGTGACACTTACCAATCTTCTTATGAAGATATGAATTAGATTACACGACGCATCACAACGCTATTAAGCCATTTCTCTTCATAGTTTACATAGCTGGGGAAAGTCCTTTGAATTGGTCGTTTTTTCTGATCTCCGAAACTACCGGATTGTTTTGCACGTTCCGAACGGTGTTTTGCAGTTAGTTCGAAGAAATGCTTCAGTGTGTCACTAATAATGACGTCACAGGTAACTGAGGTCAGGTCGAAGAAAAGCATTGATGTTTCTCAGCTCGCTGTTGTAGGCTCACTGTTGTAGTTTCCCTCTGAGCGCTGTTTCCTGATAAGATTTATCTGTTGATGATCTGTCTCGTAACTGGTTTAGGGATAAGGATATATGCCTATTGCCTACTGATGCCTAATGCCGAATCATCCGATTCGAATTCTATGACCGATTCCATATGCATATAATGTCCAGGGAAAATACTTAACAATGAAAATGTATAGGGGAAGGTGGGGTAAGACGGACCAGCTAAGGTTTGAGGCCGCATATCTTGCTACACTGCTCTCGTAATTCATATTATTTATAGTCTTCGGAATGCTCAATCCTTTCTCTGTTGATATGTGTAAAGACTAAATTTCAAATTAAAGACATCTAGGTGGTGGATGCTCTTAAAGAGGGACATGTCAAAAACTCCGACAAGAAAAAACTTGGGGTAAGACGGACCACCCAGCAGTGCCTGCTATCCGTTCATGTGTGTTACACTTCTGCTCTGTACTCTTGTAAGAAAAAGTAACCAGAATGGTAAAATAACAAAATGAGCCTTTATTCTTTACTCATGTGTGATGGAAGTGCAGCTAAAAGCTGGGAACATGTGTGTTGATTGTCGTTTGGCATGAATGCATGCTAACTGAGCACTTGCATGCATGGCTCACATGCAACAAAGACTCCTTCCTGAAAAATTAGCTTACTTAAACTTGTGTCAATGTTTTGGAAAAGAACTTTCCATATGCACAGTACAATGGACCACCACAGGGTAAGATGGACCACAGTGGTCCGTCTTGCCCCAAATCTAAATTCTGTCATTATCATGACGTATATGTAAAATAGCCCAACATTGCAAAACCTTGCCTTTCCTAAAGTGTGACTATAACTAAGTTTATAACTTTGTTCTTCACAGTTACGTGCAAAATAGAAACTAATCATGCAATAAAGGCGCCGTAATTGAATCACCCGTAGACCTCTTATATTAGATCGGTTTGACGAAAAACATTTTTCTCAATAACTCAAAAGCTATGCATCCTAGCAGCATGAGCTCAAGGTGGCCATTGTTACGAAGGAAAACAAACATAGTGAGTGCATAAAGCAGTAGATACCAGCAGCGGTTCAGCCGGGAGGGCTGGTGGTCCGTCTTGCCCCGCTGGTCCGTCTTACCCCACCTTCCCCTACATATTTTCACGTAGCGAACCAGTGAGCCATTTATTCCTTTTAAAAGTGATTGGGTCATATGTCTCATTGGCTCCACTGTCGTCTCAGTCGCTAGCAGGTCAAGGTCACTTCCCATCTCAACAACAACCGGTACCCCTGCCAGTTCCTCCTCTGTGTACCTGTTGAGGAAGCCGCGTGACATTACGGCAAGGCTGGATGATCGGACCGGCTCTGCCGAGTGTCGCGATGAACCGGTGGTCCTAACTTGTATCTCAGATCTAACACGTTTCACTGCACCTCTGTATAAAAGAGGAACGACAGGTCTGGCGCCACCGCATTCCGTTCAGCAAGAGACACAATGAAGGTGCGAAGAGTCGAGTCGAACTCTGTGGTGGAAAGTGTGCTTTTCAGGAGTGTGTAGTCTGCGCGAGTGTGCCCCACGGAGTTGGGTGGTGTGATTTTGTGAGCCCTAAAGCGAGCTGGCTAAACTAACAGTGCGAACAACATTTCGGCATTGTCGAAATGTTGGAAATCGGCATTGAAATGTTGGAAATCGGCACTGAACGCCTTGTCGCAGGATGCGACCGTATTCAATGGGCATATAGTTAACTGCACTGGCCGTCTTATGGTGCCAGCTCGAGAGCTTGACGCACCCAAAGTGACGCACGGAAGCGTCCATTTATGTTCGGATTTTCTTCTCGAGAAAATTACGATGTCAAATGCATTCAAGTACATCTAATGAATTTATTCGGGCATGGCATGTGGACATTACCTTGCCAATGACGTGGCATCCTACCCACGCGACAGAAAATAAGCGCCGTGAACTGCTTCTTAGCTGACGCACGACCGAGCAACAACGAAATTTACCCTAAACCTGTGCGTGCTTTGAGTTATGCGCACATATTTGAAGGCTCGGGCCACGCAAATTGGATTGATCGGAAGGATGAATATGAATGAATATACGTGCAAGAGAGAAAACACTTTATGCGTGCATGCATTCATTGCATTGGTATACAACTGCGTGTCTAATCTTTTTTTCGCCCCATTTGTTTCAGATTGCCGTGGTCCTTTGCGTTATCGTGGCTTGTCTCCACCCAACGTAAGTAAAAAATGCGTCGTGTTTTTGCAGAAAAGCCCGAAACTAAGCGAACATGTAGATCTGTCAGCATAGTATTTCGGGAGGGGGGAGCGTCGTTGTTTATGGAGAAGTGAGAACAAAATTTAACTGTAGTGATTCGGGCAGTGTGCATGCATCTATTCCCACCGATATGATTATAATTTTAGCATTCTTTGGGCTTACAAGTTTGTTGTCCCACAGTCTGCATGTCAATAGGCGTGCTAGTAAAAATATCCCGGTAAGAGAGAAAAAGACGCATCACGATGCATGTTCATTGTTCACATCAGTAATCTCGATCATCCCTTTCAGTGTGGGCACCTTCGGAGGCGGCGGCGGTGGCAAGAGGGGTGGCGGCGGCCAGAAGAGTCGCTACAGGGTCATCAGCTCGTACGGTACCTACGGCCACGGCGGAGGAGGCTACGCCAAGGGCTACGGTTACGGCGGGTACGGCCATGGCGGTTACGGCCTGGGCCACGGCGGCTACGGCGGCCAGAAGGGCTACGGCGTGCAGAAGGGCTACCACACGGTCATCATTGAAGAGATCAAGGGCGGTCAGGGAGGTGGCAAGGGAGGCCACAAGGGAGGAAAGGGAGGCAAGGGCGGCGGCTTCGGTGAGGGTTACGAGTTTGTTGGTCTGCTCCGGCCCAAGGTGCATCATTACCACAGCTACGGAGCTCCCATCGTAGCCGGATATGGTCACGGTGGATATGGCGCTGGATATGGCACTGGTGGATTCCCCGTTGGACATGGTGGATTTGCCCCTGGTTATGGTGGACATGTTGTGAGCCAGCCGATTGTGTATGGAGGCGACAGTTACGGTGCTTACTAACAAGCCCAACGATTGACAAGTAGTGAACTGTTGGTTTTTTTGTGTAGGTATTATTGTTTGCGGAGTAGATATCTGTTCACTGCCGATGTTGTTATTGTTGTGTTTTACCTTATTTGAATACATCATGAATTAAACATCATATTTTGCACGAAATTGGACAATCGGCGAATGACAATTTTGCTCTCTGCATGTCGTAATTAAATGTCATTGCCTATTGTGCTATGCTATGTTAAATGGATCATAGACACACATATAGGGTGTGCCAATCTTGAGGAGAATAAGCTTGCTTGCGACTATTTTTCATCGGTGCTGTAACTCACGCCGGACCATGGCTCGGCGCCAGCCTTGCCGGGTCGTGGGTCGTGGTGGCCGGGGGGTGTTTGAACACCCCCGTCTAACTCGGCTCCTGGGCCACGTATCGACAAGGAGTAGGCGGCATTCGAAGGAGCGTCAAAATCATGAAAGGAGCACTTTGGACGTTTTTTCAGGTCATGTCAAAGGTCAAAGGCCAGGTCACCAGAGGTCATCAAAGGTCGAATTCTGCCTATTTCAACATTTTCAATACATAAATCGGTGCATAAATCAGGAACGAATAGAGCTTCAGTACCGCGGAAAAGCGCGTTGGATAACTCTTCTAACGTTTTATTTCTGAAATAAGCCCTCATATTTGACATAAGATAAACGATTTAGCCTTCAGAAGGCAAAAACTTATGTAAGACCGCATTGGGGTGCCGGTCTTACACCTCTACACCTCCCTCCGTCTACACCTCCTCGTCTACACCTCCCTCACCCGCCGCGGAACAAGGCGGAAAACAATTGCATAGTTATACCAACTACCAAGAAAGAAGAGAGAGAGAGAGAGAGAGAGAGAGAGAGAGAGAGAGAGAGAGGGGGGGGAGGGAGAGAAATGAAAGAGAGAGAGAGAGAGAGAGAGAGAGAGAGAGAGAGAGAGAGAGAGAGAGAGAGAGAGAGAGAGAGAGAGAGAGAGAGAGAGAGAGAGAGAGAGAGAGAGAGAGAGAGAGAGAGAGAGAAATGAAAGAGAAAGTCATCTTTTACGACATTGTTATGACATTTTAAAAGCATGAAAGCACGTTTCACAAACAAATGGTGTCTTCTTGCACCTGAAAAGTAGCGAAACTTAAAAAGGCCACTGAGGTCTAAGGTCAATCAATCACAGCTCGGGTGACCTTGACAGCAGTTACAATCCATGGAACAAATGCCTCTCATTTCACTGGTACGCATGTTTCAAATCACAAAAAGTACGGAAACACATGCCGACAGTGCGCGCTGCCCACTGACACACGTCGCATTGCTATGGTCTCGAGAAGAGGTCACAGGTCAAAGGTCATTTGGGTCATCGTCGTGAAATTTTCAGGGAATGTGTCAAATTGATATACACGAATATAAAACAATGATGAAAGCCGTAGCATCATGTTAAAGTTGAATATACCATGTCATGGATCCAAAGGGATCATGATGATAGATCCTGCTCTCCAATTTATCAAGAAATAACCCATGGAAGTCGAAAACAATTACATTTATGCATAAACCAGCAAGGGATGGCAATCCTTAGCACAGTCATTGAATATGCTTGCACTTAGCTCATTTTGGGATGAAAATCGAGAAGACAACACAAAATTTGCCTTTTTCGTCGTATTTACGTGCCATTTTTGTGGTATTGCCTATGCATTACATACAAGAACCCGTAATGCAAGAATCTAAGTTGATTTTTTGACATCATCGCCTGCTTGATTTGTGACGATAGCCGTTTTCACGACGGCCATCTGGTACACATTTGGTGCACATTAGGTGCAAATTTGGTCAAATTAGGTGCATATTTGGCCAGATAAGGTTCGCTGTATTTCTTAGTAACTATCAGCTAGGGTTGCACTAATTGCTTTTATACCTGCTTTGTCAAATTATCAGACATTATTATCAATTAAAACAGCGAAATAAATGCATGATATGAAGATATTTGCGATAGAAGAGATCTGGTGCAGATTTGGTCAAATTAGGTGCATTCGCCAGATAGCCCGTCGTAAAAACGGCTTATAATCACCCTGCATTAGGTATAAAGGTCGTAGCGTGATTCATTTCACGGCATGTATTGTCATTGAAACTCCAGAGACGCACTGACACTTTAACAACAACATAACGACAAAATAAACATTAACAGTGTGATGAGCAATGAGCACCAACAATTAACGGCAACAATGCGACTCAATCAGCAAACGCACCGATTGCCAATTATGAGGCTAATAAACACCGTAACTGTCGCCTCCATACACAATCGGCTGGCTCACAACATGTCCACCATATCCAGGGGCAAATCCACCATGTCCAACGGGAAATCCACCAGTGCCATATTCAGCGCCATATCCACTGTGTCCATATCCGGCTACAATGGGAGCTCCGTAGCTGTGGTGATGAACCACCTTGTGCCGGAGCACGCCGATGAACTCGTGACCCTCACCGAATCCGCCACCCTTTCCTCCCTTTCCTCCCTTGTGGCCTCCCTTGCCTCCTCCCTGGCCGCCCTTGATCTCTTCAATGATGACCGTGTGGTAGCCCTTCTGAACGCCGTAGCCCTTCTGGCCGCCGTAGCCGCCGTAGCCGTACCCGGCGCCGTGGCCCAGCCCGTAGCCTACGCCGTGGGTCGGGGCGTAGGTGACGTGGCCCAGGCCGTAGCCGGCGCCATGGCTCGGGGCGTAGCCGACGCCGTGGCTCGGGGCGTAGCCGACGCCGTGGCCCAGGCCGTAGCCGGCGGCGTGGCTCGGGGCGTAGCCGCCGTGAATCGGGGCGTAGCCGCCGTGAATCGGGGCGTAGCCACCATGGCCGTAGCCTCCGTGGTCGTAGCCGCCGAAGGAGCCAATCACTTTGTAGTAGCTTCTCCGCCGCCGCCTCCGCCCTTGCCCTTATGGCCGCCGCCGCCGCCGCCGCCAACGTCGCCAACCTGCAATGGCAGAGTTTGTTTCAATTTGTGCCATTGAGTGTCATGAAACACGAAAACAATTTTTCAAGCTTGAGTTAATCTTTTAAGTTCAAATCAATTGCAAAATCTATGTGGTTGCTAATGATATAACGTTGTTACAGCAGAACTTTTTACAAGGAATATCTCTATGTGCGGCTATATTTCCTCGAATAGCCTGTACAAAGGCACCTGTCACTGACTTTGGTCGTCTTTTTTGGTCACATTAACGGTGTCCAGCCTGTCCAGCATACTTACGTTGGATGGAGTACCGCGAGCAGAGCACACACGCTCAACGTGATCTGCAATAACAGCACAGAGTTAATTGGTGCTCTTTGCTAGGCCCGCTATAATATTTATATCGTGGCAAGATTTTTAATTAACACTGCTCTTTTGATAAATATTGGCTTATCTTTCTTTTG